GATGTCCATTATCACCACTGCTATTCAACACAGTACTAGAAGTCCTAGCCTCAGCAATCAGACAACAAAAGGAAATTAAAGGCATCCATATCGGCAAAGACGAAGTCAAACTATCACTCTTTGCAGATGATATGATACTATATGTGGAAAACCCAAAAGACTCCACTCCAAAACTGCTAGAACTCGTACAGGAATTCAGTAAAGTGTCAGGATATAAAATCAATGCACAGAAATCAGTTGCATTTCTCTACACCAACAACAAGACAGAAGAAAGAGAAATTAAGGAGTCCATCCCATTTACAATTGCACCCCAAACTATAAGATACCTAGGAATAAACCTAACCAAAGAGGCTAAGAATCTATACTCAGAAAACTGTAAAGTACTCATGAAAGAAATTGAGGAAGACACAAAGAAATGGAAAAATGTTCCATGCTCCTGGATTGGAAGAATAAATATTGTGAAAATGTCTATGCTACCTAAAGCAATCTACACATTTAATGCAATTCCTATCAAAGTACCATCCATTTTTTTCAAAGAAATGGAACAAATAATCCTAAAATTTATATGGAACCAGAAAAGACCGCGAATAGCCAAAGGAATATTGAAAAAGCCACAGTTGGTGGCGTTACAATCCCGGACTTCAAGCTGTATTACAAAGCTGTCATCATCAAGACAGCATGGTACTGGCACAAAAACAGACACATAGATCAATGGAACAGAGTAGAGAGCCCAGAAATAGACCCTCAACTCTATGGTCAACTAATCTTCGACAAAGCAGGAAAGAATGTCCAATGGAAAAAAGATAGCCTCTTCAATAAATGGTGTTGGGAAAATTGGACAGCCACATGCAGAAAAATGAAATTGGATCATTTCCTTACACCACACACGAAAATAGACTCAAAATGGATAAAGGACCTCAATGTGAGAAAGGAATCCATCAAAATCCTTGAGGAGAACACAGGCAGCAACCTCTTGGACCTCAGCCACAGCAACATCTTCGTAGGAACATCGCCAAATGCAACGGAAGCAAGGGCAGAATGAACTATTGGGACTTCATCAAGATCAAAAGCTTTTGCACAGCAAAGGAAACAGTTAACAAAACCAAAAGACAACTGACAGAATGGGAGAAGATATTTGCAAATGACATATCAGATAAAGGGCTAGTGTCCAAAATCTATAAAGAACTTAGCAAATTCAACACCCAAAGAATAAATAATCCAATCAAGAAATGGGCAGAGGACATGAACAGACATTTCTGCAAAGAAGACATCCAGATGGCCAACAGACACATGAAAAAGTGCTCCATATCACTGGGCATCAGGGAAATACAAATCAAAACCACAATGAGATATCACCTCAAACCAGTCAGAATGGCTACAATTAACAAGTCCGGAAATGACAGATGCTGGCGAGGATGCGGAGATAGGGGAACCCTCTTACACTGTTGGTGGGAATGCAAGCTGGTGCAACCACTCTGGAAAACAGCATGGAGGTTCCTCAAAATGTTGAAAATAGAACTACCCTATGACCCAGCAATTGCACTATTGGGTATTTATCCTAAGGATACAAACGTAGTAATCCAGAGGGGCACGTGCACCCAAATGTTTATAGCAGCAATGTCTACAATAGCCAAACTATGGAAAGAACCTAGATGTCCATCAACAGATGAATGGATAAAGATGTGGTATATATACACAATGGAATACTATGCAGCCATCAAAAGAAATGAAATCTTGCCATTTGCGACGACTTGGATGGAACTAGAGGGTATCATGCTTAGTGAAATAAGTCAATCGGAGAAAGACAACTATCATATGATCTTCCTGATATGAGGGAGAGAAGATGCAACATGGGGGGTTAAGGGGGTAGGAGAAGAGTAAATGAATCAAGATGGGATTGGGAGGGAGACAAACTATAAGTGACTTTTAATCTCACAAAAGAAACTTAAGGTTGCTGGGGGGAGGGGGGTCGGGGGGGTGGGGTTATGGACATTGGGGAGGTTATGTGCTATGGTGAGTGCTGTGAAATGTGTAAACGTGGCGATTCACAGACCTGTACCCCTGGGGATAAAAATATATGTTTAAAAAAAATAAAATTAATAAAAAAAAAGAGAAAAATAAAAAGATCCTGGAGTATGATCTTGAAGCTTTCTTCCAGTTCCCGTTGGTGAGTCAGTGGTTCTAGGGAATCAGATAGGGTATTTTAGCACTGATTATTGTATTTAGAGAAGAAAATGGTAATATATCAAGTATTATTTTAATGTAAATCACTGTAATAGAGATTTATTTCTATTTTTTTGCTTCTGTGTTAGGTCAGCTCTTGAGGTAATTAATACCTGTTTGAATTTGTAGAAAGTTTCTGATATGGTCCCAAATGATCCTGAATTTTATCATCTTGTATCATCTTAGGAAATAATTAGAACTCAATTTTTATATGGTTTTAAGTTCAATTGTATTCTTTAATTTCATCATATAATAAGCCAATTTTGTGTGTGTGTGTGTGTGTGTGTGTGTCTGTAAACACTGAAACTTTCTAGTTTTGTACAATTCACTATTCTGGTATTTCAATGAACAGTTTAAAATTTGAAGTTAACTATTGTAAAAAATTAACTGCAAAGCAAATGAACCCCTGACTTACTTAATTGAATCTGTGTAATTTTATTAGTCTATAGAAAATAAAAATTCCTCTCAAAATTAAAGGATCTTTTGTAGATTTTTTTTAATAGACAGTAATGTCTGTCTTGTTCATTGTAGTAGGTATTGACAAGTATTTATTAAATGAATGAATAAAAATTTGTGTTTTGATCATTTTTGCTACCATTTTCAAATGAGAGGCAATAAGATTGTGAAAACTTGCATTTTAGACATTTGAGCATCTCCCCATGTTAACTAATTGCTGCATTTAATAATCTTCCCCATATTAACTAATTGTGATTCTTCTCTGAAAATTGTGAGAGGTATGATTCAAACAGGAGAAGAAATATTACATTTATTATCCTCCCTTCCTTTATGTACAGTGGTAGCTGCTTGGTTTCATTTTTAAGACCTCTTAATGTATCTAAATACATCTACGTTGTTTAGCTTTGAAAAACTGGCTAGCAAGTATAAATCTAACTTTGTAGAGAAAGAATAATATTGCAAATATTAGGTCAGACCTCATTCAAGAAAGTAGTTTGAATAAAATATCTGGGTCATAGTCTGGTTTCACTTTCCCTGAGAGTTTATGAGAACTCTTTGTAAGGAAGTCAGTGGATAAGGTTTTGAGGGAATCTTGAGAAATAGGATCTGCTTTCCATAGTTGGGCATCTGGCAGGGCTGTAATATGGATCTAGGTACATGGGTGTTCAGCTGAAGTATTATCAGAGGGATTGGACTGCACTGTATTTTATTCTAAATCCCCTTGCTTACTTTCAGCTCTTAGAAGTCAGAGACCACTTCTGTAGATGAAATAGTATCCCCAGCTGATTCAGGGAGGAGATCATGAGGGCAAAGCAGAAACTTAATCAGCGGGGCATTCTGTCCTCTGGTTAAAAAGTGGCCAGGATAAGGAAAAAGGATAATAAAAATACAAATGAACAAAAATTGCACCAGCCTTAAATAAAAGAAGAAATTTTAAAAAGCTTCCCCAGAGTGACATAAAAGAGAATATGAATAAATGGAAAAATAATACTTGGGGTAGGAAGACTCATTATTATAAATTCTCCTTAAATAAATTCTAAGATTTCTGTTCATATGTCATCTAGTTGAAAGCTTCTTATATAGTCATATATATATATATATATATATATGCACATAGCAACCATATATATTTAATTTTTCTCCATAGCACTTACCTCATCTGATATAACTATATAAATTTATTATTTTTTCCCCTGGAATGTAAACTTAACAGAAGGCCATACATTTATCAGAGTGTGCCTATCTTTCTCTCCTTACTAGAATGTAGCCTTATGAGGATATGTTTTTTTCCTTGTGGTTTCCCCAGCACCTTGAGCTTATAGCACATAGAAAACAGTTGATGACTGGAGAATGAGTGAATAAATAAAACTCTCCTTTCTCTCTTAATCCATAGAACTTATTGTCTATTCCATAGTTTTGTGGTCATTAATTTTGTTCACTTTAACATCTTATAATGCTTTCTATTATTTTCTTTTGGTTCTGTGTCTAATTGTTTCATTCCTATAAGACATTCTTCTCTGTGCTCCTTGATGGCCGGAATGGGACAAATACTTCCTTTGTGGACCTCACAGTACAAGGCAAATGGTTGTAGGAACTTGTGAATTGAATATGTTTATTTATTCATAATTACTTAAATTGCTAAAATCTAGTTTGCTTTCAACAAAAGGAGTATTTTAAATAAATAATACAATATAATTCTAAACAAAATAGGGCTTTTTGTGTATTTTTAAGGACAGAATTTTTGGAGATGTTTCTTGAGCTCATGGTATATTTTAGTAATTGAAAGTTGGAAGTTTGCAATTATTATTTTACAAATTACTGCACACAATTTGAGTAAAAGAAACAATTTTCACTGAGATGTGGATTTCTTACCTTAAAATTTTAATTTTTAAAAACGTCTTGTTATGCTGCAGTTATATTGGGACTTAGTTTTAAAATGAAATATTCTAAGCAAGTACAACTTTGTAGTCTACATAAATGTTTTTATAAATACTTTTTTTTTAACCATTTCTTATCCCAGCATATCATTCAACGATTTGTGTAATGATCGCTTGCTGTGCATTTCATTGTCACTATGTTTTTAAAAAATTGTTGCTGATGTACTTAAAGCCCTTTCTTCATATAGATTTTGTATATTGTTTCTTGGAGATAAATCTCTAAGATTGTAGTTAACATTTTCAAAAGTAAATACGTAACAATTACTGAAACAGTAACCGTATATGTTTAAAAGGAGAAATGTAAAATTATGTAACGGTTTTGTTGGTTCTTTTCTAATGTATATGGACATATTTAAAAAAATTTTTTTCTTTGCTTTATTTCAGACCAGTCTCTCCATATGGGGATGGGGAAGCCTTGGCATTGTCCTTTCTCTAATAACCTTTGGACCCTTTGTAATATTTTATTTGGCCTTTTATATCCTCTGCTTTGTGGGCGGGTAAGTATTCTCAATGACAATCTTACAATTCAAATGTTATACTTTTGTTAGAAATTGAAACAAATGACCATGAGACCTCAATAAGTAAGAAAAAAATCACCATGAGAAATGGTAGTATAATTTATTTGTGAGTGCTATTTTTGCAAATTGTTTTTTTATCAAAGTTAAGTAAAATAAGATATCCAGTAAAATAAAACTGGTGGCGATTGTGATTTGTACCAGGAATATGGATAGGCATCTTCAAAAAATTTTCAGTTTTTGATTATATAAAACTTTTTTGTATAATTTGAAAGGTTTTAAAGTTTTTTTTTATTCCTTTTGGCATTGGTACCTTTTAAGGCTGAAAATTTTTATTTATTACAATATTAACAGGATAATTGGTTGGTTTAATTGAGATGATTCATCAGGTTTTACATAGTAAAAATTAGAAGATACTGTTTCATTGACTAGACTTCATACAATAATATTAATTATTTCCCTTAGTGAATGCTGTCATGTTTTTATGGAAAATTCAAACACCTGATTTTGCCATTTTCCTCTTCATTATTTGATTATGTTTTACATTGAGTTGATAAACCTTTGCAAGAGAAGTTTCAGTCATGATTTAGTATAACTTCCTGTGCAGAGCATTTGGTATCAGATATGAATCATAGCTAAGAAAAATAGAGAAAAGAGAGTTAGAGGATTGTTACTTACTCAAACCAAGTACCTTAACTGAGCTGAGTATTTTGTTGTTACTATTTATATATATGCGTGTGTCTGTGTGCATGTATGTATGTATATATAAGATATGTTTACATAATTATTTTTGGAATGAATACCTTTGAATTCTATTTAAAAAATCTTTTGAGGCCCCAAATATTTGGAGGAGTTATTTGAACCTATAGGTTTAGAGAACAACTTAGCTAAATTGAATCGAATGTAAAAACTGTGGCCTGAAAGACTGTGTAAGATATTCAAGGAGTGATTTCTCAATGTACCTACCACCTCCCACCTCTTTCATGATAGAGTTTGGAAGTTCTGTGTGGCCATTTTAGAAGGACTACACCCACTATTTGTGGGACAAATGAGAATCAAATCAAGCTCTACTCAAGTACTATTCCTAAAACTGCATATAATTTATATTTAACACTTTCATAATAATTGCTTAGGTATGGTATGGTATTAGGTGTGTATTGTATGTAAGTAAGTAGGTATTGGGTATGGTATTGCATACTGAAACAATTAGAAATAAGCCATAGGAATCAGATAAATGGAATTTTGAGTATCTTTATTGACTATGAAGATGATTGAAGACTATAGATCTGCAGCCCCCTGGGCTTTCTAAATTACACTCCTTTGTCACAAATGAAGACTGGAGCAGAATGATTGCATAGCTGTGTGCTTGCACTTCTTCCCCACGGAGTCATGGCTGCTTTCATTGACTGGAAAGGAGACTGTTTTTTGGAGATGTTTCTCTGAAAATGAGAGATTTCTTCTCTTTGATGAATTGAATAAGCTCTTGGCAAAAGTGAAGGCGAATGATTTCAGACTATTTGCCAGTATTTCAGAGAGGGAGGAAATTGTAGCTTTCTTTGTCAGTAGGAGCCCTAGGAAGCCCTGGAGACTGGAGGGTGGAGAGTCATCTCTCATACACTGAAGTGCTCCGCATCAGGTTTTGGAAGAGGGAAGAGTGCTGAGTCCATGTACTTCAAAGTCATGGCAACCTTTCCTGCTCCTTTTCTGAGTGTGCAGGTGTACCAAGGAGTAAGCACAATCGTTTTCAGATAACTTTTAAAGTTCTGTACAAGTTTTTAAATAAGGCGGGGTATGGATGGTGTGCTAGGGTCACTAAAAACTCTTCAGATAATATTAAGAGTCATATGATAGGGTCTGAAATTCCAGTTTGATGTTGTATCATAAATGTTCTGATCTGATGTTCTGTTCCAGATTGTAAATCTCAGTGAAATTCACTGCCATAGTAAGGGGACTTCAATTTAAGTTCTAGAAAGCCTCCCAGAATTATCTTCAATAATCAAGGGATTAATTAATCATTTCTAGATTACTCAGTTGTGGTCAATGAGTATCTAGTTCCTGAATCAAATCTTTCCTATTTGGGCTGTAATTAGAAAGCATGATTGTTTTTTCTTTAATATAACTTACAGTTAATGCCTTATGAATTTGAAGAACAATGCAGGCTTTTAAATAGCAATCTCAAGTAAAATAATTGCATTTCATAAAATCATTTCTTGGTTTTAATGTGTTTTATTGTCTGAAGTTTTAAGATACTTTTTTTTAACTTCTATAAAATGCAAGTTTGAGAGGAATTAATACATTTTCTTATGGAAGCCACCTTTTAAAAAAATTCTGCAGTTAACCATCTGTAATGTTGATAATATATATGTTTTGCTGATAAAGCTAATTCCATGTTTTCTAGTATAAAGATAACTTTTGGAAGGAAAATCACTTAGAGATTTTTGTATTATGTGTTTTTTTGTTTTTTGGATGCATACTTTTGATACTGTTTTATGGGTTATTTAATGGCATTCTGTTACGTTGGGTGATGCAGTCATTTGTAGCACCTGTTTTTACTTAAACCTCAAGGCTAAAACAGGTGCTAAGTTTAGACTGTTAGCTTACTTTCCTACTATCATTCTTTGGACAAAGGTTAATACTTTATCAGGCTTTCTCATGATAATAACAAGCATTTACTTTATGTCTGTAAATCTGCTTATCACTAGATAAAACTGAAATATGGGGCCATCTTGAGTCTTAGTAATAGTATCAGATGCAAGACAGGTGAAATTTATTGACAGTTCTGAGGCCAGCTTTTTAAAAAAGAAACAAAAACAAAATTGATGACATGGGCTAATTTGACTTGTTTTCTCAACTCATCTCTCAGCTTTTGTGGTGCTTGTACTAAAGAGCATCGGATAGCCACAAAAAACAGAGGACTTTGAGAATCTTCCTTTTAGTAGTTGAGGCTGACCCATATTTAATTTTTCATAGTTCCCTTCTTGTTATGACAGCAGTTGAATTATTGTAGGATTTTTATAAGATTATTATAAAGTTAGAATTTGATGTTTTTCTATGATGGATTTCCTATCTACTTAGTGGTGCTTAGATTTAATTGGTAAATTTTGAATATATAAAATATTGATAGCATTTAGTCAATACTTAGAGTTAAACAGTTCTAAGCCAGTTTTTATCTTACCTCAACTCTGTAATTGTTTTAAAAATAATCAGCCTTTGGGATGTATTTATATGTATTTTTAAATTCCAGTCTAATTGTCAGCTATATTTTTTTTTTCTTCTTTGGCCTTTATTTATTTTCTTTCCATAATCCAAATTACATTACTATCTGACATTAATTAGTTAATAGAACTATAGAAATGTGTGATTTTAGCTATAGATTTAGATCTCATTTGTCTTTATCGTTGGTTAGTGAACCTACTTATTTAGCGAGGGCTGATTTTTTTGCCTGGGGTTCTTTATGATATATATGAAATATGAAATATGTGGAATATATTTATATAAAAACTTTGAAAGGCATTCTTGTATAAATTCACAAAATGCTTATAGTTGTTTTAAACTTCAGAACATAACAAACTGTCAATTAATTGCCTTGGCAAAGGAAAAACTGATATTTTTAGTGAGTGATAAACCATCTATTAAATCTGAAAAATATCTTTGGTTAATAGATATGTTAAGTTATAACAGAATTTTGTTTTTGTTTCTGTAATTGAGTTTTTTCTTCCCCAGGGGCTTTGTGGTTACTCTCCTCTTTGGAAAAACAAACTCAGAGAAGTACCTAGAACAGTGTGAACACTCATTTCTTCCTCCAACATCAACTGGGATTCCTAAGGTAAATAGGGTAAAGGAAGGTAAAACCTCAAGTCTTGTTCTGTGAAATGATGGTAATGTGATCATCTGTATATAGCTTGGCATATGTTCCTACATCACTAATGCTCACTATAAACTTATGGGACACTTTCTAATCATGTTTAGAAAATGTATCTTAGAAGATTACTTTGGAAACTTCTGTAGTGTTAGATGTTCAGAGTGGAAGTGCAAATTTTAGATAAAGATAGAAATTTGGGGCCTCTTCCTACTATTGTGACATAGGATTTCAAAATATGGAATGAAATAAATTGCATAGAAACCAGAGAAAAGAAAATGGGTATTATTTTTTAACTGACTTGAAAGATACAGCTTTCAGTTAGGCTATTCAGTATCTATAATTTTAATAATTTAGGCCCAATTATATTTATATCATCTTGAGTGTTGGTATTTTTTCCATTTTTTAATATCATAATCTGTAAAATTGGAATTTCGTACTGTAGGTAGGCTTCAGATTTGCATTGTCTTCAGTTCTTGTGGTATGGGGATGGTTTGTTTCATCTTGTGTGAAGAGAGACAAAGTGATCGGGAGTTGATGCCGGTATCTTAACTTTACAGTTAATAACTTGTTCATTATGTGCTAAGATGTAGGAGATGCAGAGATAGAAATATATAGTATAGCTTTATATTGCTGAAATAAAAGAATTTCACCTTATCCTTGGAAGTTGCATGTTATAATTTGAAGGGTATGTTTTATATATGTATTCGTGCTTTGTTTTTTTGTTTTATTTTTGTTTTTTGTTTGTTTGTATTTTTAATTGAAGAATGTCCCACTACTTCTCACATTATTTCTAGGCCACTGAACTTACTGAACACTACAGAGAAATAGAGAAATTCATTTTCTTTTGTTGCTAAAAATTGTCCTTAAATAAAATTAATTAAAATATATTTATTTGGCACTTTGTATACTGTTTTGGGCTGGGAGGGGGAAGAGAGAAGAGGAGGAGAGTTTAATAAAGACAATTATTAATTTGATTCACCTGAACCACTAATTTATGGTTTTAAAGTTTCACTGAAATACAGCAACAGTGTATCCTACATTTTTTGTTTCTTCACATTCTAAATGATATTGCCGATTTTACAAAATTTTTGAGGATAACAATAGGCTTTTTTTTTTTTTTCTGGGTGTCTAGCTGCGTTAACTTGAGAAAGTGTTTGGTTTGTACAGAGCCTTGAGAAATAAGGTTAGTGACTGACTTGAAGATGGCAGGGAAGTTGCAAGTTAGAAGTAACTATACAGACTTTAAATCAGAGAACTATGCAGTAAAATGTTGTGATTTCCTTTAAGTGCTTAGAAGAAATGAAACGAGAAGCCAGGACTATAAAGATTGATAGAAGATTGACAGGTGCCAATATAATTGATGAACCTCTCCAGCAAGTGAGTTTTCCTGTGTGGTATTTGAATTCCTTATCTTGTGTTGTAAGGTGTATTTCTTTTGAAAATACTAGGAAATAATTTTTGCTATTTATGTAATATGCTGGAAAGTCATTATAATGCTGTTCTTGGATTCTGTACTTAAGCTGCCTTATTTATGAAATAATTTATAATGAAGTGGTTTATATAGTATTAAAGCCTTTTGTTTGAACTTGCATTTAATAGAAAGTTTTCTCTGACATATTTGATAATGTTTCTAATTATTTTAAAGTTAAAATGCTCTTTAGCTGATGAATAGGCTTAGTGTTTTGGCAAATCAGACAATTGGTACTATAGTTTTTTAAATGGTTATACCTGATTTGATTCAAAAAATATTAAAAAATTAGAATTAAAAAAATTACTCTCTCCAGATATTTTTCATTGATGTTTGATTATATGATTATTATAATGTGTTCTTTAAAATTCTAACATTTCTTTTATAGTTAAACCCAAACTTAGTTTAACTGATTTTCAAAAATAATATACATCAAGTTGTATCATTTGCTGAATTGACTGATTGTATTAAATCAATGTTGTTGATACTATTGGTAGTATCAAAGGTATTAGATTTAAGTGAACTTGGGTAGTGGGTGACATGGGACACCAAAATAATTTAAGATTTTTTGAAATCGTTTTTTAGCATATTGATCCTTTTGTAATAAAGGTAGTTTTTTGGTACCACAATTTAGTATGTAGAGAGTATATATAAATTGGTAAATAATTCTTTTAGGTTTTAGTTTGCTGCTCATACTTTTTAAATCCTAAAAAGTTGTGTCTTCTCCCAATATTTTTGTTTTAGGTTATCCAGTTTTCCTTGAGGGATTATGTCCAGTATTGGTATTATACACTAAGTGATGATGAATCTTTTCTTCTTGAAATTAGGCAGACTCTTCAAAATGCACTCATTCAGTTTGCTACTAGGTAAGGTCATTGATGCAGAAAAAGTTAAATAATATTGTTTATACCAGTAAGGAAAATGACTTTTAAGTTGGAGGGGGAAATTATTAATTAGTAATAATTACTAAAGGTGAGTAGAACAGTAGGTGATTGTGAGATAACAGATTATAGAACTAGAGCTCTAAAAACCTGTACTTCTTTAAATTTAACCTTTACATTTACAGAATGTTTATCTTTATTAAACCCTTTCTCTCAGTCTGAATGTCAGTGTCTTCCTCAGGGTCCAGTCATGTGACTTTCAACTCACTTATTGAGAATACTTTTTTTTTTAACCTCTTACCCAGATACTCTGTTTTATTTGAGTGCCATGGAAATAGTTTCAGTAAAATTACTCTTTTACTTTGAGCACATACCTTATAGAAGTCTCAGTGGAGAGGAAACCAAAGGAGCATAAATCACTGGAGAATATTCAGCTTATTTATTTTCAGAAGGGAGTGTATTTTTATGAGTTTGCTTTAAGAAATTTTTGTGAGATATACTAAAATTCTTACTTTAAAAAACCCATTAAAAAACCCCACTTACAGGGTGCCTGGGTGGCTCATGGTTTAAAGCCTCTGCCTTCGGCTCAGGTCATGATCTGAGGGTCCTGGAATCAAGTCCCGCATTGGGCTCTCTGCTCAGTGGGGAGCCTGCTTCCTCCTCTCTCTGCCTGCCTCTCTGCTTACTTGTGATCTGTCTCTGTCAAAGAAATAAATAAAATTAAAAAAAAAAACCCACTTACGTACTGCCTCCTCTATGACAAAAATATTTTGGTCTATATCATTGTATTTAAACTACTTGATTTTTTTTGGGTGGCCATTTCATATACAGAAGTGACTTATTTTTGAAAGAAAAGATTTTATGTTTAGTTGAATTTGATTTTTTTTTTTTTTTAATTAAAAGATTTTCTTACTAGCCTATAGCCTCAAGGCAGGAAGCTGCATGCCATGGCCATGAGAACATTTTTAAATCTGACTGTGTTATTTTTCAGCCAAGCCTCTTTTCTTCCCTACTTAGGTTTTTGAAATACAATCTTGTACTTTTGAGAATCTTGGAGAATAGAGCTTTGCCCTGGGGCTTTTACTGCATTTTTATCTCTGTGCACATAGATGTTTCCAGCTCAGGCTGCCCTGTCAGGACTTTTCATCTGTAACTTAGTTAATCCTAAGCTTTGGAGTAGTTCCTCAACCTCAGGTCATTGCGGAGGCCTGCAGTAATGTTTATGGTTTGAATAATAACCTTACTTGTAGGGGTAGATTTGAGCACCTTCTCCCTTAGTATTAACAGCAGATGTTTATGGAGTAGCCAGCCTTAATTACAAGTGTAGAGTCGCTGTGGAACACAGAAAATAAAGAATAATCAAACTTCAAAAATAGGACTTTATCTCCTTTATTTCATATATATAACATTATTGAGTATAGGTATTCATTCAGTCAAATCTTCTGAGTCAGTCATTCGCTACTTTTTATAGTAACATCATCCTAATGACTGTTTTTTCCCCCTTTGGGAAGATGGGAATAGGGGTTCATTATAGATGTGTTTGACTGCCTAAGTATATATTGAAATACAACAGATTTTAAACCTGGAAAGAACTTTGAACTAGTAATTGGGAGACTTCAGTTTGCATCCTGCTCTACTACTTAGCTATGGAACTATGAGCATGTATTTTGAACTTTTTGAATCTTGGTTTTGCTCATATGTGATATAAGCATAGTAATATCTGCCCTGTTCTGTGTTCCTCACAGGGTTATTGTTGGTATCAGATTGATCTATCCATTCAACTAATGTTTTATGCTTCCTTTGTACCAACCAGATGCTGCAGATACTCCAGTGAAAAAAACAAAATCTCTGATCACTGGAATGTAATGAAAATAATAATTGTGAAAATGTTCTGAAAACTGTGAGGGAATTTAGAAATTTAAGTTGTTAATGTCCTCTGACATTTATAATTTCACAAGAGATGAGGAAGCTAAGGTCCAGAAAGATTAAATGGTCAGTGCAAAATTATCCGGTGAATTGGGGCAGAGTAAGAATTAGAATCAGATTGTTCTTAGCAGTCTAGTGTTCTTCCCTCCATTCCATACCAGATATATTATGATCTGATTTTTCACCTTAGTTTCCCCACTTTTTTTTTTTAACCTTTCATAGCAGTAGCTTTCCCTGTTTTTGATTCCCCCAAATCACTTTTTCTTTACACTTCATGTAGTAAATTGTTTTGTTTTTGTTTTTTACCGTTTTGTAATATTGTATGCTATCAGGCAGAATATTTAGGTGACTGCAGGAAGAGTCGAGTTTCTTCCGTCCTGAACTGAACTGAATTTATCTTTGCTTTCTCATTTGCCTTAAGATTTTGGACAAATTAATCAGCTTCTTTTGAGCCTTAGTTTACTCATTCATAGAGGTTGATAACAAAGTTGATTTTGAGGCTGTTTTCAGGCTGAAAATGATAATGAGGAAACAATCACAGAGTATCAGCATAAAATGAAATGCTAATTTTGAGACATAACAAGAGAGAAGGATATACTTAGAGTCTGAAGTCCTCACTTTTGAGCTTTAGTGCTTTTATTTATTAAGCTGTATGGTCTTGAATGGGCAAAACACGTAAATTCTTAAGAGTCTGGTGATAACCCATATCTACTTATCAGATTATCAGGGTTAAATGACATCACATGTCAGAGAATACTTTATAATGATAACACCTTGTGTTAACATTAGTACCTGTTACTCTAGTAGCAATTTGGGGATGGAAACCTTCATAGAGCACTTTTGACTTCCCTGTGGTAGAGCCTGGCTGTGAACTAGGCTGGAGCTTTAGGGATTGAATCTGAGATAACCTGTGTATTTTCTTTCTCCTTCAAATAAGATATTATGTACAAGACTGAGTCCTGGGAGATTGTATTATAACTCTACCTGTACCATTGAGTTACATTATATTTAAAATTTCTTAATAATAATAGTAATACTTGTAGCAAACTTGTGAGAGTTAAATGAGATGATGTCCAAAAAGCATTTCCTGAAGTATTTGTTAACCAGTAAGTGGTATATTGAGCGAGTTACTTGTCTTTCTGTGTCTCAGTCTCTCCATCAGTAAAATGGGATAATTCTTCCATTGGGCTCTTGTAATGTTAATCTAGAGGAGTAGTGCATGTCTAACACTACAGGATCTAGTATATAGCAAATGAGTGAGTGTTAACTTGGTTGTTACTGTTAATTTTGTTATTTATTACCTTCCTAGTATATATACACACAGTTTCTTTGACCTTGTCTTAGTTTGTTCTGTTTTGTCGGGGAAGGAGCAGGTAGAGACAATGTTAAAGCACATACAGTGGAGAGAAAGTAGACATTTGTGTGGTACTGAGAGCGGTTTTTATCTAGAGGTAGAATGAACCAGAGTAACTGATGAAGACCTCATGTGGATTGAGGTTAAAACTGGTCTTCAAGAATGAATAGTGGGACAGACAGAGGAATGAAGGATATGTTAGCAAAGAACAAAGTTCTGAGAAGGGGAACAAGGTTAGTGTGGTAGAAGCAGTAAGGAGATACTAGTGATCAAGGAACCTTATTGCTTTAAGAGGTGTGAAATGTGGCAGCTGTGTTGCTCTCTGTTCCCCTTAACCCCAAGATTAGCAGAAAGTAGATATATTCTAATGCCACTGTGTTCTTCCTAAAGGGTTTTCCCATGGCAGGAGGAGGTATGGGTAGGTAGATTCCAGGATTCAGTGGTTGTAATACTAATGATAGTATTCTTTCTGGAACAAGCGGGGGATATGTTTTGAAAATTTAACCATTTTCCTCACTAACCATTTTGCTGTAGAACTAATTGATCATGTGTTTAGACTTGTCCAAAAGGCAGGCACGACTCAAATAATGGATATTTGCAACAGTAAAGCTCTTTTGCCATTTTACATTCTTTGCCTTTTGAAAACTTAGCTTAAAACTGACTTTAACTAGAAAGGTAATTATTGTCATATTTACTACAATTAGCAAAAATAATTAGGAACCATTAAGTATTTAAAAGAAGGGGCAGTAAGTTAATGTTTTTGCAGGTGTGGAATAGATCAGGGGTTGTTAATTGTATAGTTATATAATTTATATAGCACACAGTTTACCCACTTAAAGTTAGTGGCTTTTAATATATTTATAGAGTTGTGCACCCTTCATCACAATCAATTTAAGAACATTTTAATGATTCCACAAGAAACCTTGTATCCACTTTCATTCACTTCATTCCCCCCAAAGTTTCTAGCTCTCGTCAACCACTTATCTACTTTATTTCTCTCTGGTTTTGCCCATTTTGGACATTTTATATGAGGGGAATAATACCGTCTGTGTTCTTTTATGACTGGCATCTTTCACTTAGTACAATGTTTTCAACGTTTATCCATGTTGTAGCAAATGTTATTACTTATTCTTTCCTAATGCTGAATAATATTTCACTGTATGGGCATAAACTACATTTTGTTTATCCATGGACATGTGGACGTAGGGATTGTTTCTACTTTCTGGATATTATGAAGAATGCTACTATGAACATTCATATACAAGTTTTTCTGTGGACGTGTGTTTTCATTTCTCTTGGGTATATGGGAGTAGAATTTCTGTGTCATGTGGTAACTCTTTAACCTTTGAGGAACTGCAAATTGTTTTCCAAAGTGGCTGCATATTCTCACCAGCACTGTATGAGGGTTCCATTTTCTCCATATCCTTGCTTATACTTGCTTTTGCCTGTTGTTTTTTTCTTCAAGTTTTATTTATTTAAGTACTCTCTGTAACCCATGTGGGGCTTGAACTCACGACTTTGAGATTGAGAGTCATACGTTCTACTGACTAAACCAGCCAGGTGCCCATGATTTTGTCTGTCTTTTAGATTACAGCATCCTAGTAGGTGTGAAGTGATATTTCATTATGGTTTTGATTTGCATCTTCCTGATAGGTAATGATATCGAGCATCTTTTCATATGCTTACAAGTCATTTGTATAGCTTC